TCGGCAGTGTGACGAAGCCATCAGAAAAGCCAATGGCACTTTATCGTGCATCAGCAGATGCATGACGAATAGGTCCAAGGAGGTGATACTTCCCTTCTATCGGGCGCTGGTCAGACCACAGCTGGAGTACTGCGTGCAATTCTGGGTGCCGCAATTCAAGAGGGATGCGGATAACCTGGAGAGGGTCCAGAGAAGGGCCACTCGTTTGGTTAAGGGCCTGCAGACCAAGCCCTACGAGGAGAGACTAGAGAAACTGGACCTTTTCATCCTCCGCAAGAGAAGGTTGAGAGGCAACCTTGTGGCTGCCTATAAGTTCATCACGGGGGCACAGAAGGGAATTGGTGAGTATTTATTCACCAAGGCGCCCCTGGCTGTTACAAGAAATAATGGCCACAAGCTAGCAGAGAGCAGATTTAGATTGGACATTAGGAGGAACTTCTTCACAGTTCAAGTGGCCAAGGTCTGGAACGGGCTCCCAAGGGAGGTGGTACTCTCCCCTACCCTTGGGGTCTTCAAGAGGAGGTTAGATAACCATCTAGCTGGGGTCATCTAGACCCAGCACTCTTTCTTGCCTATGCAGGGGGTCAGACTCGATAATCTATTGAGTTCCCTTCCGACCCTAACATCTATGAATCTATGAAGTATGAATAAGTTAAAGGTCCTGTAATATAGCCAGGAACCTATGCAAGCAGTCAGACCTGGCTGTCTGCTCCTCCCAGCTAATGTCAGGGTAGTTTAGGTCACCCATGACAATAACATCCCTTGACCTAACCGCCTCCATAAGCTGACTGGAGAAGTCCTGGTCTAGCTTTTCCCCTGGTTGGGTGGTCTGTAGTAGACGCTTTTGTCACGTCCCCCTTGTAGTTTGACCCATAGTGTCTCTGCCCGACCCTCCTCTAACCTGAAGCCAATCCTTGATGACATGAAGTGCTCTTTGACATAAAGCGCAACCCCCCCACCTTTCCTCTCTGTCCTGTCTCTTCTGTATAGGGTGTACCCCTGAATGCCCACCACCCAGTCGTAGGTAGGGTCCCACCAGGTTTCTGTGAGCCCTACTAAGTCTGGGTTCTTACTTGCAATAAGGAGGCATAGTTCCTTCTGCTTACACTCCATACTACGAGCATTAGTGTAGAGGCACCTGACGCCACCTGAGAGTGCTCATGCCTTCCTCCCACTCCCAGGACCGTTGTGGCCCCCTGCTCCTCGGATGTTGATACTTACCTGTGCTTCCTTTCTTCTTGTCACCCTGCGTGCTGGTGAAGCATCCTCTCCACTCGAAGCGCCCCCTTCCCCTGCTGTACGAGATCAGCCAACCTAGAGGAAAAGATACGTCTGCCATTAGGAGAGAGGTGAAGCCCATCCCACCCCAGCATGCCCTCCTTACAAAAAC